GTTCACATAGAATGACCCCTACCATGTTCAATTTTTTCGTATATTAATATTTTACTTGAGTATGGTACATTCATATAATTAATGAACCAATATTAATAGTTGCATCATTTATTCAGATTTCCTTAGTTTTTACCTAATGTTAATTTTCTGTTTCTGGGTCCCTTTCACGTATTTGTCATATCTCCTTAGGATCCTGTTTGTGGCAATTTCTCTTTGTACTTACTTCAGGATTTCCAGGTACCTTTGGAGTACTTGGGTTTTGATATATTCAGGATTAGGAGTTTCATCTTCTGCTATAATTGAAACCCCTTTGAGAAAGCAATTCTAGTACTACTGACTTAATGTTTGAGAAGTTGAGGCCAGTCTATGCTGTTCTGTTCTTTAAAATGGAGTGTGTTTGTATTTTATAAAGAAAAAGTTCTCTTATTCTTGCAATCATGTCCTCTTGTCTTACATTTCTCTTTGAGATTGCCTTAGGATACTTGGTTTAAAAATCTGTAGTCTTTATAGTGTAACGAGAGAGTTCTGCATAGCCTTTTATTTTTTTTGTGTGTGTGTATCCCAGAACCATATTGTTGTGACAGCTTAAAAAATACTTGAAGTAGTACTATCCATATTCTTACTTCCATGTTCCTGACTTTCCCTCTTCATATAAATTTTGGTAAATTTAGAGTCAAAGGCAGTGTCCCATGATTTAGTACCCCAGAGTGATGTGTTCTAGATTTTAGAATGTCTGCATTGAAGTATACTGCCATAAACTGTTCGGTTACAATAGGTAGTTTGGATGCTACTTTTTCTGCAACCTATGGATTAATAATCATGAGGGCTTTGAGTGTGAAATGAATGCCAAACTGATTTCATCAAGTTAAAATTCCAGAGGAGACTAGATGAAAAAAGGAAAGGACATCAGTTCCTAGTACCTAGATAGAACAAGCTTAACATAAATGTTATATATAGAAATTGGTGAAGTAGTTAATTCTTGATCATTAATGACTTAACGTATGGCACGGTTAAGATTTACTAATTTTAAACCGCATCATTCTTTTCAAAAATGCCTTCCCAGGTGTTACCTTCATGAAGGTTTTGGTTTAGAGGAGCAATAGTGTGGATAATAAAGCTGTTCCATTCTCCCTCATCACATTGCTCTTTGAGCCACAAAAATGCTGAGTTTACATATCAAAGAATCTGTGACAGAAGGCAGTTTCATTCCTTCATTTAAATATACGTATCATATTGTTGAATGCCTTTTTTAGCAGTGCAGACCTTGTCAAATATATTAAAGGACCATTGATTTATCCAAATTATTACCTCTTTGCCATTAACATTATATTGAACACTTACCATGTGTCAAGCTATGAATTTTTTTTTTAAATTATTTATTAGTAAGGGAGGCAAGTAGTAGGGAGAGAGACAGGGAGAAAATATTAAGCAGACTTCCTTGCCCCCCCCCCCCCAGGCAGCACAGAGTCCTGGGGGAAGGGGGTTCGATGTGACCGCCCTGAGATCACAACCTAAGCTAACATCGAGTTGGATACTTAACCAACTGAGCCACCCAGGTGCTGCCCCCAGGCTACAAATGTCCTGTATTGATGTTCTGTCCATGCTGAATGAATGGGTTAAAGTTTCCCTTCCTGCATTTTGATGCATGCTTGTGCCTCTTCCAATTCCTATGTAGATTGTTGCAGCTTGACCCAGCCTGATCACTGCATTAACACGTAGTTTCTCTCTATAGAGTAGGGGAACCCCAAGTAATAGTGACTTAAGATAGAAGTTTAGTTTTTTTCACAGAAAAGAAGTCTGTAAGCAGGCATTGAAGTGGTGGAATGGAGGTTTCATGGAGTCATGGGGGACCCAGGCTCCTTCAGGCTGTTCCTCTTATTTTTGTGGAGGCCGAGAAAATGAAGGCCATTCCACTTTAAGTTCAGTGTTATGACAAGTACAGCCGTCCCAGGCCCCTGTGAATAAGAGCTGAACTTTACCTTACTTCAGTTACAGGAAGAAAACAGCTTACAGCTTAATGGCCTAGAAAGCCCCATATTAGAATAAGAACAGAGGCCAAGCCAAGGGCAGGAAGCCCCTATTAGAATGAGAACAGAGCTCAATGCCCTTGAAGGCCCCATATCAGAATGTAAACAGAACTTGAGGAATTGCTCCCCCCCTTCTGGAATTCCCCTAGACCAGCCCTTAAAACTAAGCTGAAACCCACCTCGGGGTCCAAGTCCCTGCTCCCCTGTGTCGGGTACACTTGGACCCAAGCTCGAGCTTGTAAATAAACCCTCGTGCACTTGCATCTGTGTCGGCTCCTTGGTGGTTTCTCGGATTCGCGATCTTGGGCACAACAGTTTTGATCATCCTAGGTGGCTGCCCAAATTTTATTCAGCAGTTCCTCAATCCTAGATCCAGCTGGCAGGATGGAGGAAGAAAAGAAGTAGAGGATCGAGCCCCTTCCATTTTAAGGAGACTCCCTGCAAGTAACTTATAAATAAGGTCTAATACACGTCTCTTTGGCCAGGCTTAATCTAAAAACTACATTTAGCTACAAAGGTCTGGGATATATAGTTTTTCATCTGGACAGTAATGTGCCCAGTAAAACAAAAAACAGAGAGCAAAACAAAGTAAAAGCCAAAAATGAAACAAAATGAAAAACCCCCTCAAGATTCTGTTGTTGAAGAAGAAAAAGAATATCCTGAGGCAGTTGCTGGTCTCTGCCACAGTCATTCAGTCATGCCCCCCGAAGGAGCATCCTAGGTTGCCTTTACCTCTTGATAAGTGATTTTTGCCAACTCTCAAACCTCTTGTCCTCGCTGTTTTGACTTGTTTATGCCTACTCCTGCTTCCCTTCTCCAGAATTAGTGGGAAGAGTCCTGAAATCAGATGGCTCTGACGTCCTTTATTTGCTAGTTAACTCTAAATGAATTTGTAGTTGTAAAGGTGTGTCCTGCCATCTTTTGTAATCCACTTCTTACAGTGGTTGTTGTAAAGTTGTTCACATTGTACTGTAATTCCATATTCTCACCTTGTTTTTGTTTACATGTAAATAAATCAGCCACACTCCACCTCTGCCTGAGTTCTGTGTGTCCTACATGTGTTCATGTCCCTCGATCCCAGTACCTGTTTTCGTCAATAGGATGTAAGTCTGAGTAGGGCCAGAAGCTCAGCAGTGCCTGAACAGGAGTAATTTGTGCCCTATATAAAAGCCTGCTTGAATGAATGAATGAATCCCGGCCTTTCTTCCTCTTCCTTCTCTCCAAAATTTAAGATTGTTCCTATATTTAAAGAGCCTTCTCCCGACTTTGCTGCCATTTCCCCTGCATTTCTCAGAGTTCACTTTTTATTTTTTAGGAAGAGGCATCCGCCTCCTGGTTTACTAACTCCTTGTTCTCCTCCCTGTCTTGAGGCTCCCTCTGTGACTTTTCAGGTTTTGCTTTGAGATTGCCCCTCCTCGTTGGCCTCTTCTGGTTGTTTAGTCTCTGCGACATCTCTGCAGCGAGCTGTGTTATTGACAGCGCATTCCGGGAGGGGTGCTCGCTCTTGGCTCTTGTACCTTTCTGGCTTTTCCTTCTGCATTTCCTTTGTTGCTGTCCTTCAGCTCTGTAGTGGTGAGCAAAACAGTATGGTGTTGCTTTCATCCTTTGTTCTTTTGTCTCTACCCTTTCTTTGCAGTATCTTAGCTTCTGGGCTGCTCTCTGACCTTGGCTATTATCTCTGTATGCGTGATTACCAAATAGACACAGATTGCTTTTACTACTCATTTCTGCATCCCTTTTAAATCCTTCCTGGATGTCACAATTTACACTTCTCTATTTAAACACTGTGTCTGAAGTCTCTGTTGTTGGTCTTGTGTCTTGGGTTCCTGTCATTAGGGCATTGCTTCTGCAACTGCATGGTAGTAACCCTAATGGCAAAGGATAGCAATTTCCTGTGTGGTGCTTTCCTTGTCTGGAATGCCTGTTCCTTTATTCTTTCCAACTTCTTTTTTTTTCCTTTTAAGGAAAAATCAAGTTCAAAAATCTTCATTTCACAAAGATCTCTAGGGTGACACCAGGCCTTATTGACTTTCCGGGCTTTGAACTCCTGCCACACTCATCTCTGTATTACCTGCTCCTCTTCATATACTTCTGTTGTACTGTAGAATAAATCCTCTTCATTATAAATGTTTATCTCACAGATACTCTGTAATCTTATTTCTCTTTGTACTCTCAGCGCCTGCTGTATAATCAGCACTTAAGAATGTGTGCTGTGGATGATGGCATCCCCTTTTCATTTCCTTATCTTGTTCCATTTCTAACACTGAGATTGCTTAAAAAATTAATTTTTCTTATCACCAAACAAACATTTCTCTTCCATAAATGAAAAGGAGTGCTTGGACTGAGCTGAATGACAGGTTTTCAACAGCCTGATTGCATTTTGCTTTGCACTATTTTTAGTACATAATAAAGGGCTTGAAATGATTGTTAGAGAAGTAACTTTTCTCTGTCTTTTGAGTGTCTTCATTTTTTTGAGTGTCATCTAAAAACTTGGAATAAAAGAGCCATGAAAAGAGCTAGTGGGATTCTCTGCATACACAGACAAAATTTTGTATGGGGAGGAGAGAGAATGTGAATAAATGAGAATGAGTGTAAAAACACGTGTCCTCCAGGCCCTACTGGTTGGTAAGTAATGTCAGGATGATGTCGGACCAGACAGACAGAAGAGTTGTGTCAAAGGAGTGGATGCCCCTCACCCCCTATAAAAAGAAGCTTCCCCAATTGTTTTTATGATAAATTGTTTTTTTAATCAATTCCTCAGCAATATAGCAATGCGACAGACATATTGAATAAAGTAGATGTAGTTAAATATTGGTGTCTTTTAAAATTAAGGTATGAGAAATTAGCTGTGGTTGAAATTTAGCTCTGGAGATGGAAAATCTGGATTAGTAAAATGTTTCCAGACTCAGATGAGGGTAACAGAGGCCTCTGACTCCATTCACCTACTTATTTCACTTTTTTTTTTTTTCATAGGGAAGTTGAAATACTGCCTTGTCGTTCTAAATCAGCCTCTGGACAAATGTGTTCGCCATCTTTGGAGCAAAGGTAATCTTAATTAGTGTTTGTATTTCCTTACTTTCTTAATATATTTAGGATAATAAAACTACTAAATATTCCAGAATCTAACTACAATACCAAAAAGTGGAGCTTAAAGTAATTTAATTATTGAATTATCAGGTGAATGTGTCTGCCTTTATGCTAAGCAGTTTCTATGGGTGGTTTCCACAGCATGGACCCCCAAGGACAGAATTACAATGTAGCATCACTACTCTGTATTTCAGATCCACTATGTAGTTCATCCTGAGTACTCACTGTTTGTTGAAGTGTAAATAAAAAGCCACAATAAAAAGCATCATTCTAGCCTCACTCATCCTAGCATCCAACAATGAGATATCTGCAGGGTGACCAGATTTGCAAAATTAAAAAAAAAAAAAAAAGAGAGAGAGAGAGAGAGAGACTAACAATATACTAGAATCTCTAGGGATGCTGAAAAATATAAACATGCAGTAGTTTTGCAGAATTAATACTTCTGTGAGTTTTCCTGTAAGAAACAGGCTTTATTAACTGCTTTTTTTTTTTTTTTTTTTACATTATCCTTTCGTTTTTATAGCATTAGCTCTAGGCTAGAAAATAGTATTAAATATCATTTGCTGTTTTGAAAAAAAAGTATCATTTGCTGTTTTGAACCTCAGCTTTTCCATGAAATCTTGAGCTTTTTTCAAAGGGGATACTTATGTTAAGGTTAGCAATGTAAATTTTAAGCCAAATTAGATAGGCAGAAGAACGTGATTCTTGATATATTGATGCATATTCCAGATGATTCTCTTATTGTAGAAATCTTTAATATTCTCAGCATCAAGGTTATGTGTCTTCTAATGCAAACCTGTTCTGTCAGTAGGCTCACATCTGCAGACAGAAGTAGTTGTGATACTAAGAGGGAATAGATCATTATGGATGATTTTGTATAATGAATTTTTATTGTCCTATGTGATTACCATGAAAACTCTTTATTCTAAGTTTAGCCAACTGAAAATGTCACATTGTTCTACTGAAAGTTGGAAAGTTATTTAATCAGTAACTTCACTGTCATAGAACTCACTTGCTTGTAATTAGGCATTCAGGTGCCATCAGAAAGGTCTTTTTGTTGTCAGTTCAGTGCCTAGTGCTGTGTCTGGCACGTAATTGCTTAGTAATTATAACCAGTGAAAGAGTGAATTTAATATGATTCATATTGCTAATTAATACCAAAGTAAACTGGTTAGGCACATCTTTTTTTTTAATTTTTATTTATTTATGATAGAGAGAGAGAGAGAGAGAGAGAGGCAGAGACATAGGCAGAGGGAGAAGCAGGCTCCATGCACTGGGAGCCTGACGTGGGATTCGATTCCGAGTCTCCAGGATCGCGCCCTGGGCCAAAGGCAGGAGCTAAACCGCTGAGCCACCCAGGGATCCTGGTTAGGCACATCTTTTGTAGCTGAACTCATTATCAGGTTTTATTATATTTTTAGGAGAGTGTGTGAACAGCTGTGTTTTATCGCACATCTTAAAAATAAACAAAATAACCATTGACAGGAACTGCTGGAAATCTTGGGTGAGGAAAACCACATGTAGGAAGTCTCATTTCAGAGGGGTGAAGGGTCCTATTTTGTCCATAGTGTGAAATAATGTAGATTTTTTTAGCTGACTGAAGTTTCTCATTGCATTAGTTTCCTGCAATGAATTTGATTCAGAAAAGTTTCACGCTGGACACACACCAACTATTTAATTTGTGTAAGAAATGAATGCTAGGTCAGTCTGTATACATGGAAAGAACTATAGGTATCTAAGAGTAACATGGAGTGAAATGGTTAGATAAATCTCATTTCCAAAAGAACTTTTCTTTAGGTTATCTATATGTGTTTTCATATATATCTCCAGGATAATTCTTGGCTCTCTGGAACCATTAACCATTGTAAAGAGTGGAACTGTTAATAAGTACTGAGGAAAGATAGAATAGGGTTTTTGTGATTCTCACAAAGAAGCTGTGATTTTTTGTTTGTAGTGTCCTGTTTTGTGTTGCTCGTCTTCTAAGTAAAAGTAAAAAGTAAAAAAAAAAAAAAAATGGGTATTGGGCACCTGGGTGGCTCAGTTGGTTATATGGATTTGGCTCAGGTCATGATCTCAGTGCTGTGACATTGAGTCCTGCATCAGGATCCACACTCAGCAGGGATTCCGCTTAAGATTCTCCCTTGGTCTCCCTCTGCCCCTCCCCTTACATGTATGCATGCATGCTGTCTCTAAAATAAATACATCTTCTTAAAAAATTGGATATTGAGGAGGAGGTATTGACACTTGTTTTGATGAGCATTGGTGGTTGTATGAATCATGGAATTCTACTCCTGAAACTAATATTGCACTGTATGTTAACTGGAATTTAAATAAAAATTTGAAAAGAGAAAACAAAAACCAAACAAATAAAAAGAAAAAAAAATAGGGAAACTCTGAGCTTGAGTTGCTGATGTTAACAAAAGACAGCAGTCTACAAAAAAGTATAGAGCAGCCTTCAGAAGGGCCTGGGACGGAAGGCAGTATTGTGGCTTGGGATTTGAGCAAGGGCCAGAGGCAGCGTGCCTGCTCCTCTTTGTCCTGAATGTGGGACATTTTCTGTAACTTTCTGTAACAAATCTAAAGATTTGTGAAGATCAGAAATCATGGGGTGAAACCCAGGCTATTATATCAAAACACAGACAAATTCGAAGGCTGTTATACATGTGTAAGTCTTTTATATAAAATCGATGATTTAACTTACCTGAAGACTTCCGGAAAGTAGGTATTTCCTGAGATTTCTTTAAGGGGAAAGACTATTTTGAAGGTTTATTAGTTTTGCAATGTTTACTTGATGTATTATGCAATTATTTTAAATGACTCGAGAAGGGATTCAAGGGAGATTAAAACTAGAGAAGATTTTAAATGTATTTTCTCTTTAATACCTCATGAAATTTCAGTGATTTTTCTTGGTTATAGGTCTTGGTCAGTTTTAATCCCTGCCTGTCCCAGCAGTTTGTGTACTTAATTTAATCTGGAGATATAAAACAAGTATGTAGGTAGGTAGAGGAAAAGGCGGATAGGACAGTAGCCAGTATCTAACTTTTCTGTAACTACCAGAGGTTATTGGCATTTGTGAAAAGATACTGCTCTCAGATTTCTTAACTTTTTTTTTTTTTGAGTCTTTCTCTTCCAGTAAATGTCTCTGTCACCCTGAAATATGTGATAAGTAGAGAAAAATTGGAATGTCTGTATTTGAAGGATTCTACTTATATCTTGTGCAGATCAGTTATTCTCTCCTTGGGGTCACTATGCTTATCAGGACCTTCAAAGGTAATAGGAGAACTCTGAATTACATAAAATTAAAAGAACAAAAACTAATAAAAAATCTGACATTCACTTACCTGGGATGAGGTTTTAGATGGACCATATATCAGGTTTCTAGGCATTTGACTTCTTAACGTATATCTTCATTTTTAATGTGAGTTCATGGCTTTTTTGTCTTTTCCATTTGATCCATAGAACATGGTGGCCATGGGAATTAGATTATGAATAGATTATCAGATTACACTGATGCCAGGTACTTATCTACAGTGTGACACTCTTTTCCTTTAAAAGCAGTTGGTTTTTATCACTTGATTTCTCTTTTTTCAGTTCTCTGGTAACCTTCAGATCATGCCAGGGTATGAGCACTGTATCTGGTTCATTTCCAAGGAGGCTTTAAAAAGTTGAAAACATTTTGACAAATCAGGCAGGTCTTTGAGGTTAAAAGGAGGATGCCCACGAAGCATACATGAATGGAAATAGAAACAACGCTTTGATTTTATAGCATCAGTGTTTTCCCTTCTGGTTCATTTGTAACTGATGCTTGCTGAGGACATTCTAGGTCAGGCCTTGCGTCCAAAGCTGGGATGTAATGGTGGGCTCTCAGGTGGCTACAGTTGAGTTAGGGGAGCATAGACTAACTATGCTTCATGAGGTGTTTCCTCATGAAGGCAGCTCAGATGCTCTGAGAGTCACAAGTCCTTAGAATAAGCTCGCTCATCTTTGTTTCTTAAGTACCTGAAATTATCATAGTATTTGATTGTACTTTGGTCATGTTTGTATGCCTTATGCTTTCTTTTTTTAAATAAAAACACCTTATATAAATAAGTTTTTAATAGAATCCTGACTTGCTTTACTAATTAAACTGATCTCGTGCTAGTAATTAGTATTGCCATCAGTTTTAAATTTTTTAAAAAGATTTTATTTATTTATTCATGAGAGACACAGGGAGAGAGACAGAGACACAGGCAGAGGGAGAAGCAGGCTCCCCATGGGGAGCCCAACGTGGGACTGGATCCCAGGAGGCCTGGATCATGACCTGAGCCACAGGCAGATGCTCAACCGCTGAGCCACCCAGGCTTCCCAGTTTTAAGTTTTAAATGATGTAGAAGTCTGCTGTAAAGAACCTTGCTTTGACAGTTTTGTTGTATTACTCCTTTCCTTTATAAACTGTGTATGCTAGGAATTGGTAACCTCCTTTTAACTGGTTATTTGAAGTTGAGCTCACCCAAGATTAGAAAATCTATATTATGTAAGGTTCTTTTTTTTTCTTCTATTCCCATTTTTCTATTCAGTGGGATCTCTACCTCATTTCTGGTGTCCAGTGGGATTATTTTCAAAATAAGAGAAATTGAAAACATGCTATTTTTAGGTGTAGACTGATTGGTTTGCTTTAACATACGTGGTATCAATCACTTGTTTTATTCTTACTACATCTATTAGTATACTTTATCCCTATTAGAGGGATTTCCATGGAAAGATGTTTTTTGATAATTACCTTAAAATTTTAAAATTACTGGCCCCTGGACGCCGCCGAGTAAGCATCGTTAAAGTCTCCCTTCCCACTGCCGTCACGTCTAAGTCAGTCTCCCAAAGAGCCTGAGCAGCTGTGGAAGCTCTTCATTGGAGGTTTGAGCTTCGAAACAACCGAAGAGAGTCTGGGGAGCCATTTTGAGCAATGAGGGACGCTTACGGAC